TCGATGAACCAAAGCCCTTGAGACTCTCTTTCTCTCCCACACAAAAAGGTGAATATACTGGGATTTGTAGAGACTCAATTCATAGCTTAAGAGAAAGAAAGGATTTACCTATGTCAATGCATCATGAAGAACCTGCTGCAAGAAGATGATACAGATTTGATGAATCTATAAAGAAGAAAAAAGGAACAACAACAAATTAATGGTTACATAAAGGGGAGAACACGATAACATTAGAAATAAATAGAACCACATTATCAAGAATATATGGTCGATCGAATAATATAGATTAGAAAAGTGAATAATCAAAATTATTATACGCACCTAAATTATGATAAGAGCACCCTATGATTTTTTTCTTTTAAATCAAACAACAATAAATTAATCATTATAAAAAGGGAGAAGACAATAACATTAGCTAGGAATCAAAAGAAACACATTATCAAATAAATAAATCATTAGAGAAAGAGGAAGACGATAATACTAAAATCCATCAGAAATCACATTATCAAAAAACAAATAACAACGAACAAATCATTTGGAAAGCATGAAAGAAGAAAAGCTAGAAAGACATGAGAAACACATGATAACTTAATATCAAACCTGAAAACTTCTAACGATACAAAAATAAAATTCCTAAACTCGTAAAGCAATCAATCAATCATGAAAAATAACAAAAGTAGAAAAGAATACAAAAGCACAAACCTGGTAGATTTTTGTATATACCGTGACCAAAGATTCGTTTCGAAACAATTATGATGTTGAACCGAGTAGTTTTCCATTTATAAGTGACCCAGCCGAACATAAATCCATAGATTTAGGTCTTATAAGGATAGTAGATAGGGTTTGTTTTACTGACCTATTATTTTATGAGAATAGTAGATAGGAGAATTTTATTAAAGGAACTTCTGTAATCAAGCACTTCTAAATCGTTTTTAGGCACGTAGAATTTTTTACTTCATATTTAAAAGAATAGATAAATAGATATATTCTTCCTTTATCCATATTATTCGGTAGATTTGGCGTTCATCTAGTATTCATAACCGTATTGTCTCTGATTCAACAAAAAATTCTTGAGGCTAGTT